AAAAAAAAAAAAAAAAAAGAAACACTGTTGGCTCAACTTTCAAAATATCCTATATCTGATCACATTGCCTCACCTGAACTATTATCAGGTCTAAGCCATACTTATCTCTTATCTATAAGATTTCCCTAATGGATCACCCTGCTTCTACCCTTGTCTTTTAACAACCTATTCTCAATACAGCAGTCAAGTGATTATTCTACAGTGAAAGCCAGATCATGACATTCCCCTCCTACAACTTCCCTCATTGCAATCTCCCTGCTGCACTCCAAGTAAAAGCCAAGTTTATTTATTTATTTATTTATTTTTGAGACAGAATCTCACTTTTATGTACTTGGTGAAATACTGTCCCATCATAGCTCACAGCAACCTTAAACTCTTGAGCTGAGGTGATCCTCTTGCCTCAGTTCTTCATTTTCAGTAGAGAGGAGTCTCACCCTTATTCAGGCTGGTCTCAAACTCTGGAGCTCAAGCAATCTCCCTGCCTCAGCCTCCCAGAGTGCTAGCATTACTGGTGTGGGCCACCACACCTGGCAAAACCAAATTTTTAAATACCTTTCAAGTCTGTTACCTTCCTGATTCCTCATCATATTACTCTTCTCTATCCTCACTCATCTCCAGGTACAGCCACTTCTTTATCATTCCTCAAACAAGCTGGGAGATGATGCTCTCTGCCTTGAATAGTTTCCCAGGGAGCCTCATTGTTCCTTCAGCTTTTTCTTAGATGTTAAAGGAGGAAAAGGTGAGGTTATCAAACAAAAATATCCGTCTTCCTATAGTCCATACTCTGAAACCTTGCTGGTTTCAGAACATCTAACAAGGACCAAAAATATTTCTAACATATATAACAAATACACATATATTTATATACACATCCGTCGTATGTGTATGTCATACACACACACAAAAAGCCTATAAGAACTTCTAGGTAACACTCATAGTTTGAGTTCCATTAGATTTACTGATAGGTTTTGTGCCCCCAAGAAATACAGCATAGTAAAATCCAAGACAGGTAATGAATTTGCCTTTCTTTTGTCAAGAGGAGAAAAGCCTTGTATGAAGGAAGATGTGGAAAAAGAGAATGTATAGGATTATGATCTTAGGGGAGTATAGTTGTTTCTATAGAAGTTTATTTCCTTGAAACTATTAATGTCAATGTACACCTTAGAAAGTCAAGGGTCCAGGTACCCTGCTGGACGACCACTGGGTATTGTGGTGAATATTGTGCTTAGAATAAGACTCTTGAGTGATCAGTTAGGAAAGGAACAATCCAACATAACTACTTCAAAATTGCCCTCTGGATGGTATAAAAAAAAGAGGCAGAGAAAGAAAAAAGAAAGGAAAACATATTTATTGTAATTCATTGTGATTGTCTTTTAGTGAGACAGGAAAAGGTGGTCTCAGAGCCCACTCTGTATGCTGTCTGCCCAAAAAGCTGGATTGGATTTGGAAGTAAATGTTTTTATTTTTCTGAAGACACAAAGAATTGGACTGTCAGTCAAGCCTTCTGTGCTTCCTTAGAAGCCAACCTCGCTCAATTTGAAACTCTGGAGGAATTGGTAAGAAATATTTTTGGGTCTTGTTTTCTGTTACTTACTTGGCCCTCTGAGATGAGTCACCTGCTTAGGCTAAAGCTGAAATATGAGGAAGGATCTGATTTTAGGGAGAATTTGAGGCATGAGAGTGTCTAACATTTGTTGAGGATACAGTCTCTTCCTAGAACCCTGTAAGACTTCGTAGATAAAATTTCTCATATAGACCCCATATTTAACCTGCAAAATTACATATATTCTTCTCATTCTGTTAAGAAATGTGCTAATCATATAATGTGTTGTCAAAATTGGGACATGTGGAGCATTGAAAGTAGACATGAATTATGGTGGAATGGTAGACATAAACGGAAACTATCCCTTGTCACACAGGGATATATTGTCATTTTAATGTAATTTATGATCAGAGACATTTGTCATAAACTGAGAATTGAGAACGAGTCTAACTCCAAAATCTATGCTTCCCATTTATACCATGTTGTCTTCCAAGAGACTCACGAGTAATAAGAAAGAGAGAGACACATGCTGTCATTTTCTGTGTTTTGTAATAGAATTTCCTGAAAAGATTCAAAGGCCCCTCTGACCATTGGATTGGCCTTAGCCGAGAATCAGCACAGGACATTTGGAAGTGGACAGACAACACTGAATACACCCTCTCGTACGTTTGAAAGTTCTTTTCCTTCTACTGTGTTTGTGTGCTGTTGTGTGGGTGAGTTGTGTTCATGAAATGAGAAATGTAATACTGTGGGAAGCTTACTACACTATGGGGTAAGAAAAGTAAATCTTCTTTTGTGATGTCATTTAGTAGCTGTGCCTTTATGAAAACTTATTGTGATTTCAGTTGAAATCTCTAACTAATGGAGAGAAAAACACATAGGAGTTTTTATCAATAAAGGAAGAGACATTGTGGCAATAAAGCCAGTCAGTCTGGTTCAGCAAGGGTCCCCCTAAGGGCATAAAAAGACCTCCACTCCAAGTTCTGTCATTACTAGACTTTGTTTTTATTTATTTATTTTATTATATTTATTTATATCCACTGATTTAAAGCTTTTCTTTGCTGAAATGGCTGTTTGGAATGTAGACAGAATAGCTGGAGTACAGCAAGGGTTCTACAATCCACAGAGGATATAGTGTCCACAAGGCTCTTAAATTTACTCTTGCAACAGCTGCATCCATTCATAAAAGGAAAGTATCCAGGGAACCTAAAGGAATCTCTCCTAAAGTTATCACCAGAGGTACCCTCCTAATAGTTCCTTGGATTGTGAACATTTTAATGGGGTATTTTGAATGTAATTATTATATTGGAGTAGATAAAAAGTAGGGATTCATTTTCCTTAATCAAAGCTAATAAGCCGTTTTAGGAATTTACCAAGTAAGTAAATTTTTTTTTTCAGATATTTATGAAACAGTTCATGAAAGGATTTGGGGTCATCAGAAAAGGGAGTTTTGGCATGAGGAATTAAGAGGCTTGACTCAAAGTCTTTGTTGCAGGTGGAGAAACACTGGGAGGAGCTCTCCTAAGCTAATCTTGGATCTGTATTTATTTTCATAAAATAGAAAAAAGCAGTTAAAAGTTACTCAAGTAGTTTTAAGTTACTGCCTCTAGCATCAAGACACCATTGGATTCTGAAGAATCTTTACCGTAACCATTAGGAACATTAGGCCCTGTATTTCCATACGTCACATACACATTCTCCCTTGGAGGCCAGTTTTCTAATCTCCTGCATGTACACAACTCACATGCTATTCTTATGATTCTCTAGGCCTCTCAAGTAGGAAGTGAGTCTTAGGCTAAAGATTAGGGCTCAGTTTCCTCTACATATCCCCCTATTTTGTTTTTTAAGATTGTTAAGTGAATGATATAAAAAATTGTTTCTTCTGTCTTTGAATCAGATGACATCCACCATCCAAAGGTGATGATGATGATGAAGAGGAAGATCAGGGGAGAACCAAAAACTCCACATTCTTAAATTTAATCTTGAAAACCAATGAGAAAGAGATAACCATTGAAAATATTTCTCTAAAATGACAAAAACGGAAGGTTGGCTGGCCTTTTGGATGGCAATAACTTGTTCATGTAGTTGGCTGGATAAGTCAGCTATCTTGAGCCATAGTGTCATTGAATTTGCACTATGCAAATTATTTTTAACTTGTTCCCATGGATGGAGGGAACTGTTGTTAACTGCTTTAACATAAATGTTGGTGCTATTAAAGTCACAACTAAGAGCAGTTCTTCTTTGTAGAGCTTGTTGTTTATTACCAAACCATTCAATGGCAACCTGGGATTCAGTGGCAATCTTTATGATTTGATAACTTGATTGTCAATCTTAGCTTGTCTTATAAGCTCTTGTGCATTATCAGCCATCATACTATCAACAAAATGAGCAGTGTAAACAGATTCAGTTAAGGCAACTCTAGCCACTGATGCAAAAGAAAAGTAAACTAATAGAAACTATGAAAGTGATAAGTCTCGCAAGGAACCTATTTGGTCTTAGTTTCTTAAATACATCAATTAAAATAAGTAAAGTGGAATCTGCTTGCCAGAGTTGTTCAAGATGAACTGGAATTGAGGCATTCACCTTTCATAATGAATACAGTGGTAATGTTCAAACTAGTTAGATTATGGTGGGAAAAGTAAGTACTTAACCAAGTAGTAAAGAATGAGAGGGTAGAAAAGTAAATTGTGTTACAAAAAGAAAAAGGAGTTAATAAGAATACATAGGGACTAGTAGTACATATGAGGATTTAATCGGGAAGATAAGTTGTTAAATTTACTGTAAATATGTCTGTAGCACTGGTACAGAGAGCACCAGGTTTTAAAGTTTGGGGAAGAGGTTAGGGTAGCTTATCAGAGTTCAGAATAACAAGGGGGAAACATTGATCATTCTGTCAGGCTTGAAGCACAAGACCTGAAAGGGATAAGTCTTTCCAGACAGGTTTGTTTTGAGTCCATTTTGCACACTTTAATGGTTAACCTACTGCACTTAAATGGCCTTAGGGCCCAGTTAACAAGGCAAACTTGTTGAGTGAGATTAACTAGGAAGGTTGTTGTGTAAGGCAAGGGTCTCAAGGAGTGTTATCAGTAGAAGAGGAGTCAGAAAGGTGCATATAGAAAGGGAAATGTGGCAAGGATTGATTGTTATTAACAAAAGAGAAGGTGAATACAGAAGTAATATTCATGAAAATCATATTGAGAGGTTTAGTGGAATAATGTAAGTAAAGTTGAGGCACCTAGCACAGGGTTGGAACGAATGGAGAGAAAAACACATAGGAATTTTTATCAATAAAGAAAGACATTGGGGCAATAAAGCCAGTCAGTCTGGTTCAGCAAGGGTCACCCTAAGGGCACAAAAAGACCTCCAATCCAAGTCATGTGATTACTGGAAAGGGTGAGGGAGCTCAGAATCCTCCCCAAATACAGGTTGAACTAAAGATGGTTCAATTAAGTGAGCCCAATAGATGTGTTCTGCTTTAGTGGCAGAGAGAAAACATCAGGCAAGCCAGGAACTTATTTTCAAGTGTTGGGGGAACACAGAGCTATAAGAGAATTGGCATCTTGAAATCATTTCTTAAGTGATCCTCCACTTAACCAGGGGCACCCTTTGTATTTGGGCAGGAATACTCGCGGAATCTGCTGAAGACTCATCTGTTGAAAGGACTCCTGGATCAGCTGTGGTTTGAAGTGTTCCTTCTAGGTCATGTTTGGTCCTTTTTTTAGGGGATCTATGCAGGTTCTGTCGGTATAGAAACACGTGCCTACCCTCTCCCCCATGTTAAGACTGAAGGAGGATCGTCCCATACAGTGAAGTGTAAGGATGGTATGAACATGCGTTGATCCTTTAGCCATGTTGTTTTGGAGGCATTTTGAAAATGCCATTGAAATGCAGAAAAATTACCAGGATTTCAATTGGAAAAGATTAATGGTTCTAAGGGGTGAGCAATGTAAGAGTCATATCCTCCTTTTTTTTCTTTTTCTTTTTTTAATGTAATTTTTTAAAGTGTGGTTAGCACATTTGATAATGGCTTGTGCTGTGAGATTGTAAGGCATTTTTGAATTTGGCAATTAAGAAAGAAGTTTTGAAAAGTGTTATTGCTTTCCATTTAATGATGTAGTATGGATATACCTGATGAGTGTTAAGAGGGATATGGATAAATTAAAGTGTTTTATTTTATTTATTTATTTTTGTAGAGACAGAGTCTCACTTTATGGCCCTCAGTAGAGTGCCATGGTGTCACACAGCTCACAGTAACCTCCAACTATTGGGCTTATGTGATTCTCTTGCCTCAGCCTCTGGAGTAGCTGAACTTCAGGCATCCCGGCTACTTTTTCTTGCAGTTTCGCCCCGGCCAGGTTTTGAACCCGCCATCCTCTGTATATGGGGCCGGCACCCTACCCACTGAGCCACAGGTGCTGCCCAATTTAAGTGTTTTAAATGATGGATAATGTGTAACATGTGTTTGTTGTAGTTCAATACTGTGTAAACCTTGAAGGTTGGAGTTTTTTCTTTCTTTCTTTTTTTTTCCCCCAAGGGAAGGTCCTTGGATGGCTTGACAATTGAGGTAAGCCCATGCTATTTGTTTAGCAGGTTTAATAGGTAATTTGCATTGATATGCTAGTGCTTTGGCATTTTGAAGATGAGAAGCTTGGGATGCAGGAGTCTTTTATATTGGCGTAGTAAATATTTTTATTGTGAGAAGCTAGTGTATTTACTCGGTTATAATTTAGGATGAAAGGTTCTGGTAGTTTGTTCTTAATAGAATTGTTTACCTTTCCTGTTACTTTCTGTGAAGGATAAACTTTGGACTTAGTTACAAAAAACTTTTTCTGAGATGAATTAAAAAATTATTACTGATAACACACTTCAAGATAGACTAATACTTTATAATATTAGAGCATACGTAAATATAATGTACAGAAAATTAATTATTTTATATTTGATTATTTTTATATAGTCTTAATATTTCAAATAAGCTTAATATTTTTTAAGACTTTCAGTGGTTTTAATATTTTAAAAAGATTAGAGTTTTGATATTGGAAGGTTTGTTAAATATTAAAGACTTAAAACATTTGTTCAAATAAGATCACAGGCCAAAAGATTTTAAAAGCAGTGCATAGTTAACTGGATCCCATGCAGATTCTTCCACTAATTTTTTTTGAGTTTACGTAACCTGCCCAGACAATTTACAAACATCTTAAACCTTCTGTATTGCTTTGCCTTTCACTTTCTTAATGACTATGATTTATTAAACTTGTAAATAACCAGGCTTTATGTTTTAAGACCAAATTTATGACAGTTTTTTTTTTTTTTTTTTTTTTGAGACAGTGTCTCACTTTGTCGCCCTCAGTAGAGTCCTGTGCACACAAAACAGGGTCACATTCTATTATAAAAGTAATTATTTACTTGACCAAATTAATAATTAGAAGATGTAAAGGCAAACATTTATTTTTTGATAAGGACTCAGTTTTCTAAATAATTTAAATAGCTAAAGCACTAGATTTTATAAATGGCTTAGAATTTTATGAAACATAACATGACTTTAAGGTTTTAAGTTATTGAAAGGTGTTTTGAAACTATAACATAGGCACCATTTCTGATGTCTTCTCATTGTCTTTCTAAATCTCATATGGCCAGGTGGCATTAAAGATGGCTGCAAAGGAAGGATCTCAGAATAGCCATGGGGCAGAAGTGGAGCAGGGAAGGGGCCATGTGGGCTAGACTGTGCCTTGTAGTTACTGTACTAGGCAAGAACATGTCCCTAGGCCTATTTGACTTTAAAATTCAGAGGCTCAAAATCAAGAATATAAGTTCATAGTCAAATTCACCATATTCAGAAATGTTACACAAGTGGCAGTTCCATAATTTGTAAACATCTGAATTTTAATAACAGGTTTAAAACTAATTTTATTTATCAGAGAATACCAAAGTCATCTGCACAAAAAGGGATATGAGTTCTTTTTTGTTTTTTGATAAAATATTTAATGTGTTTACTATTTTTTAAAGCCAATTAGAATTCTTTTGTATATTTTGATAGTGAAATATTACCGATATATAAAATATACAGACACATAGATGGATATATAGAGAGACATACAGACTTTATATTTGTTGAGTTTTAAACATATTTTTTATTTCAGGTTATTCATTTTTAATTACCTAATTTATTTATTTTAGTAATTTACCTAGGTTCCAGTTATTTTAAGTTACTTTTTATTAATCCTTTTTATACCTCATAAATTAGATATATAAATATATTTTTAATTATTGCTTTTATCCCTATAAATTCTCCTAAGGAAAAAACAAATGTAAGTATTTTAAACAGAGTTGTCATTTTGAACAATGTAACATCATTATAATATTTCACAAATCCATTTAAAGGCCATTTTTATCTAGAGTCAAGATGATAGATACATTGGCCTGGCCATGTAACAGTAAAAATTCATTGCCTTTTAGTTATAGGTGTGTACCCATACTGAGACCAGTCAGACAGAATAAGTCTAATGGGTTGTCATTTGGGATTGAGGCCTGAGCTTTCATAATACACACAAGATATAGAAACACTAAATATCTCGACAATAAAATCAGAACTGACAAGAACTAAAGGCTTTAGTGCACAACCCAAATAAAGTAGGTGGACCATGGTAGTTAGGGACAAGGGGTATATGAGAGCAGAATCTCAAGATTCCCAGGATAAATCTCTTGGCAAAGCTGCTAGGAGTGTTGGAGTGCTGTAACCCCAGGACTGTCTGTCCAGGAAGCTGCTAGGTTTCCCCAGTAGCACTTAGACAGTACTTACCAGAGCATCCTGGTGTCCCTTTGTGATCACTTTTTAATGTGTTGAATAAATGAGACAATTAGTAATTAGGAATATCTAAAACAGTCTAAGCCAATTTTTGTGACCTACTAGTTGTAATCTGTTTAAAGTTGATTTATTTGGAGGATTGAACATTTTGAGGGTGAACAGTAGACTTAGTTAATATGTATTTTAAATAGAAATGGGGGTTCTAGTTTGTATTATTTTAGGGGCAATTATTAATCCATGCTGAGAAATTTGTTTTTGAAGGTGTACATGCACACAGGCATCATGAAGAATGGCTTTTTGATTTGTTGTTGTTAGAATATCATTCATAGAATGATAAATTAAAACTGTTGGATATAATGGTTTAGTTGATTTTATGATTTTTCCAACTTGAAGTTGGCAAATTGTGACAGAAGCGTGTCAGTCTCAGTGGCATTGTCCATCTGTTTAGAGAGGGGTGACCGTAAGGGATCCACGAATTAATTTATCATGTGGCTCCTGCACACATTGGCGAATGGAAGTAGATGAGCCATGAGAAGAGCAGGTGTCTGGTAATTTACGCCAAGCTCAGAATGTGATCTGGCTGCATTGGCCATCCATGTGCTCCTGTAGGTAGGGCTGTACATACTGGCTTTCTCCCATGAGCATGTCCATGGCAATAGGAATATCATCATTCTGGTTTTTAATAGCTTGTTGAGCTCAACTGTCTTTGTACTTTGACCTCCAAACAGCAAGTTGTGCCCCAGTAAGTAGTGTTTTGATTAAACTAAATCAATCAGAAGGAGACAGTTTGTATTCATCTCCTATTCCTGTTGGCAGGCCTCCAGTGAAAGAATTATGAGTTCCTGACTTTTGGATACTTTTTCTTAATTTTCTAAAGACTGAACAGGGTCAGTGTTCCAATTCCATGTGGTTGTTTTTTATGACCACTGAGAAGGCAGCATTCTCCCTGTGTTAGTCCTTCTATTAAACATTCCTGAAAGGAGGATTTATAGTTATTACAGTAAGACTCCCAGTCAGGAGCTGAAGTTGCCAATGGGGCTAATTCTTTGGGCATTTGGTGGAGGAAATAAGTCCTTGTCCTTTTGACTGAGAGAAATGGGTTTTGGCACCACCGGAGGCAGGGGAGGGGTAGGGGTGATATTAACCTGCCAGGGTGGGGGTACTCTTAACATTTCCTGCATAGAGTTTTATACTTTTGAACCTTTTGTCTTTGTGTCAGAAATATGTAAAGGCATGAGATTAGTGCTAATAAAGCTCCATGCCATGAGGGAAAAAATAAGGCAATATCTGACCTTTGGTGGTCTGGTGGCCGGTAGTTTAAATACATGGGCAACCAGTCCCTACAGATCTAAGTTTTCTTCATCTGGGAACAAATAGCAAAGTAACTGTACAGTTTGCAAAAGTGAAACTAAGGCTTTTTCATGTAGCCCTTAGGCAGCAGCTTTTAACAGCTGTTTGAGAGTAGCAGTGTATGTGGCTTTTTTGAAAGTTGTTCCATGTTTAAAAGGTCCACTGAAGTGAATTTGGTGAAAGAGAGATTCCTCATCCTGTGGATATCTTTGGGCTTCTTACCTTAGCCAATGGATGCATGAGCTAGTTTCCCTGTAATCACTGTTTCCTATGTCAGGTCTTGTGGCCAGAGGTCTGAACAGTTGGTCTGATTGCATCAGGGTCAACAGATGAAGGGGTTTGGGGTCACCAGAAGAGGGAGTCTTCCTGCAAGGAACGAAGGGGGCTTTATACAGTCTGTGTCAGGGACTGAGTAACTCTGGGAGAGGCCTTCCTGAGCTAACCTCAGGTCTGTATTTATTATCATAAAGTAGGAAAAAGTAGTTAAAAGTTACTTATCAGACATTAGCACTAAGAAAGGGAGAATATGAAAGGTGTCAGACAGAATGTCTCTAATTTATTCTGCAAAATCTCAGACCTTAAGCAAGACCTCTCCCTCTAGTGTCAAGAGACCTTTGGAATCTAGACAATCTTCACCATAACAGTTAGGACCATTAGGTCTGGTATTGCCACACCTCACATATACATTCTCCCTTAGAGGCCAGTTTTCTAATCTCCCGGTTGTGCACAACTCACATGCCATTCTCACGATTCTCCAGGTCTCTCAAGCAGGAAGTGAGTCTTATGCTAAAGATCAGGGCTCAGTTTCCTCTACAAGTTCAGGAGAAGGCTGAGCTGAAGGCCACTGATGGCAGCATTTCATTTGAGAACAACAGCAAGCACCAATTAAATACCTAATTAGCAACATAACTGGGTTTGGTATGAATGAATAATAAACTGATGATTTTCAAGCAACGGCTGAAAACATAAAGGAAACTAAATACAGAAATGGTGCATCTTACTAAGAAGCAATATTAATGACACGCTTTTGCTCTTCTATTCTCATTAAAAAAATGGAGTGGGAACACTGGAGATTATAGGGGAAGAACAAATACAAATGTCAAATTAGTAATATTTAATATTTTTTCATTTTGTTATAGGTTTGCTATTGGAGAAGATGGAGAACGTGCCTATCTGAATGACAATGGAATCAGTAGTGCCAGGACCTACACAGATAGGAAATGGATTTGTAGCAAGCCAAACAGTTATGTAAACAAATGCCAAAATAGAAGACCTTAATAGAATTTTCCAGGGGGATTCATTGTAAGTTGTTACATAATTGTATAAAATTTTATTTTACATATTTTAAGGTTATGTTATTAGATGCATGCAAGTATATTTCATTTTGGAAGCATATCTGTTTTTTAATGAATAGTCATTTTATTTAGCCTTAATCATGCTTTCTCCTCTGAATCGCTTTATTTCACATTTCTTAATAAGCAAGAACTATGTCTAGTTGACTTCTGTATCCTTAGAGACCAGCATAGTGTCAAAGTAGGATGTATTCAAAACATATGTCTTGAAAGAAGAAATGCTTCATGCTTATAAGCCTATTTGCTTAGTTTCAGCTAATTTTCTCATAAAAGTAGCTAAATTTATACATAAATATATATGCAATAACAAGCAAGACTTTATATTGAGAAACTGTGTGTGATAAACTCCCAAACGAAGAGCCAAATTGAGACACTAACTGGCCCAGTATTCTTTTACAAACCAGTTTTAAAACCGTATACCTAAAGCTTGTATTCCATTTCTTACCAGCTGTAACCTTGATAAAGTATAGTTATCCCTCAGCATCCCTGGAGGATTGATTCTAGGACCCCTTCAAATAGCAAAGTTTGTGGATATCAAAGCCCCAAAGGCAAAATGGCATAGAATTTGCACATAACATCCCTCCAAATTTGACATACAAAAAAAATTATGTGCTATGTAAATTTTCTCCTAGTGCATAGTACCCCAACTGTACACTACAAGATGCAACTTCTCAAGGCAGAGTTTATTTAGAGACTTCGTGGTGCTCATGTTTGTTGACAATAATATTGCTGTTGTAACAATTTTAGAAACAATTAGGCCACAATGATTCTTTGGTATTTAAGCCATAATAGTAGCTGCTGTTCCAAAGACCTAAATGCCAATGTAGAGGAGGCAGACAGATGGAGAACATCAACTTTGGGTGTGGCAAATGAGTAGGGAGCTCCAAGTACAGAGAGGCTGTTTGGTTTGCTCATCCTTGATATTAGATTAATCATCACTTTCTATGGATTTATATTCCAGGACCATATGTGCTTATATATACAGGACAACCATAAAGTTTGTGTGCAATTTAACACATATTAATGTATTTTGTAAAATTATTTGTAGATTCATAATATATTTGTATGTATATCATTTATTTATATTTATATTAAATATGTATATAGAAATACATAATACAATAAAATAAAGAATCTAGAAACTGATTTTGATGTTTGTTCAGTGCAAGTGAATGTACAACGTGTGTATAGTGGTTGTTTTCAATGTGTGAATTAGATTTAGTACTAGTATTGAAATCTTTGCAGTGAGAATCCTATGTAAAATGTTTCATCTTGTAAATGAGATATTTTCATACTCTGGTCAGAACTAGAATTGGACTTCTTGTATCTCTCAAAATATAAGGTAATAGCCAGAGAGAGCAGAGACCAGACACCTCAAGAGCAGAGATAAGCAAAGAACAATGGAGAGCAAGAAATAGACGCCAAGTAAGAAAATGAAGAGGAAAAGAAGCCAGGTTAAAAAGGGTGGACTAAAAAGCTAGTATTCAATTTATTGCAACAGGAATTCAGATGGAAAATATGAGTGGGATCAAAACTTCTAACTGAGATGACAGTGTAGACTCATATCTCTCCCATCCTCTCCTGAAAATTATATAAGAAACAACCATTGGAGAATTTTTAAAAATAGTAAAGGAAAAGTAAATCCATATGGGACCTTAGGACTAAACACCAAGCACAGTCACAGAGCATCTTGTGCCTTCTTCCCAATGCCCAAGGAAGTAGCCTGGTATGACCAGGTACTTCATAACCCCCTATTCTAACAATAGAATGTTCACCCTTTCCATATCCCAGGTGACACCTGCTGACAACATGGCAATCGCAGCAGCGCCAGCAAAAGGCCTCCAGTAGGATCCTACCTGATAACAAGTACTCGGGAGAAGCACTTGTCCCTGAAAGGTCATAGGCTCCCCTCTCCCATGTAGACATAACAACATGTGGCCAGGGACAGCAGCAGAGGCATGCCCCCCATAACAAGCACACTGTCTGGGTACCTTCCTTTATTTCTCTCTTCGTCCTCCTAAATGCACCATGTAGAAAAACGTGAGGAAGCTTTTCCTTTCCTCTCAAGCAGCACCAGTAGGGACCAAAGGATATGTCACCCATGAAGTGAGAGGACCAAAGTAACATTGTAAAGGCTCTGTGTCACTAGAATCACAGCCCACAAAAGTAGGTAAGAACATACCTGTTAAACCTAAAACAATATAACGGTCTGCTAAAATTAAAAGTAAGTAGGACCCAGAATCTTCAAACTTAATAGCCAAAGTGTATAATAGGGTATAATAGAAAATCACCCATCATGCCCAGAACCAGGAAATTAGAATTGGGAAGGAAGTATCACAATTCAAAAAAAAGCATCCGCAAGAGGCTGGGCACAGTGGCATGCCTGTAATCCTAGCACTCTGGGAGGCTGAGGCAGGTGGATTGCTGGAGCTCATGAGTTTGAGACCAGCCTGAAGACAAGCAAGACTACATCTCTACTAAAAATAGAAAAAAAACAAGGCAAGAGGATTGCTTGAGCCTGAGTTGGAGGTTGCTGTGAGCTACAATGCCACAGCATTCCACCCAGAACGGCAGCTTGTGACTCTGTCTCAGAAAAGTAAATAAATAAATAAAAAGGCTCTTTTTTTTTTTACCACCAATATGCAATGACATACTGGAACAACATTATTGCATAGGCAATACAATAAGATAAGAAAACTAAATAAAAAGGCATACAGACAAAGACATTTGAAAATAAACAAATCAGAGTGTCCCATTTATATTTCCTAAGATTGTCTATGTAGAAAACCCCAGAATTATAAAAAACAATGTCCTAGAGCTAACATGTGAGTTTAGCAAGGTTACAGGATAGAAGTTCAACACATAAAAATTAATCACATTTCTATATTAACAACATGTGGAAACAAAATAAGAACATAATAGCATTTATAATCATTTCAAACAAAGTGAAACCCATATTTAAATTAAAACAGGATATGAATGCTAGAATTTAAAATGTTCAAAAAACCTGGAGGTACACATATTTCTCATGAATTAAAATGCTCACCATAATAAAATTACCATTTCTTTCCACATGATTTATAGTTTTAATATCATTTCTATGGAAATCCCAGCAAGATTTTTGGGGGACATAGATCAGCTTATTCTAAAGGTTATATGGAAAGTGATAGGTACTAGAATTGCTGTAACAGTCTTAAAAAAGAATAATAAAGAAATCATTCTACATCATATTAAGTTTTATTCTACTTTAAGGTAATTAAAATATTGGCAGACAGCTGGATGTTTAAATTAATAAAACAGAAGAGAGAATTCATAAATAGACCCATATACATCCGTCTGAATTTTCACAAAGGTACAAAAGCAAATCAGAAAATGGTGCTAGAGTACTTGGACCTCCATTGACAAAAAAACTCAGTCTAAACCCTAGTAAGCTCAGTAAAAAACCAAAAAGGAGATATTACAACTGATAACACAAAAATACAAATCATCATCTCTGAATACTATAAAACATCGTATACCCAGAAACTAGAAAACACTGAGGAAATGTACAAATTCTTGGAAACACACAATTTCCCTTGGCTCAGTCAAGAAGAAATACAACTCCTGAATGGACCGATATCAAATATTGAAATTGAAGGAGCAATAAAATAACTTCCAAAGAAAAAAATTCCCAGACAAGATGGTCTCACAGCCAAATTTTATGAGACCCACAAAGAGGACCTGGTACCTATAATGCAGAAATTATTTCCTAACACTGAGAAAGAAAAAATCATCCACAACTCATTCTACAAAGCCGGTAATATCACTGTGATACTAAAGCCAGGAAAACTACAGTCTAATATCCTTTTTTTTTCTTCTTTCTTTTGAGATGGAGTCTTACTTTGTCACCCTCAGTAGAGTGCCCTGGTGTCAATCTCAAACTTGTGCGCTCAAGCTATTCTCTTGCCTCATCCTCCCAAATAGGTGGGACAACAGGTACCCACTAAACACCCAGCTATTTTTTAGAGATGGGGTTTACTGTTGCTCAGCCTGGTCTTGGACTGGTGAGCTCAGGCAGTCCACCCACCTTAGCCTTCCAGAGTGCCACTTTCGTCTTCCAGAGTGCTAGGGTTACAGGTGTGAGCCACTGTGCCTGGCCCTGATATCTCTTTTGAACATAGATTTAAAAATTCTCAGTAAAATTCTGGCAAACAGAATTCAGCAGCACATCAAAAACATACTCTATCATGACCATGTGGGCTTCATCCCAGAGATGCCAAGGTAGTTCAACATATGCAAATCTATAAATGTGATTCACTACAAAAACAGAAGCAGAAACAAAAACCATGTGATCATTTTAATAGATTCAGAGAAATCATTTGACATAATTTGGCCCCCTTTTATAATAAGAACTTTTCACAAAATAATCATAGATGGAGCACACCTCATAAAAGCCATATATGACAAACCTTACCACCAACATAATACTAAATAGGGGAAAATTGAAAACATTCCCACTTAGTTCTGGAACTACATAAAATTGCTCACAGTCATCATTTCTATTCAACATGGTGCTGTCCTAGTCAGAGTAATCAGACAAGAGAAGTAAATCAAGCATGTCAAAATCTGGACTGAAAAAGTCAAATTCACACGCTTTGCTGGCAAAATATGATCTTTTATTGACAAAAGGGGTAAGGGGTAAGATTCTGCCAAGAGACTCCAGGAATTGTTAAATATATTCAACCAAGTTTCAGGTTACAAAATCCATGTACACAAACCAATAGCATTCCTATACACTAAAATAGTCAAGCTAAGAATCAAATCAAAGACTCAATACCTTTCTTAAGTACAACAAAGTAAATACAATACCTAGGAATATATTTAACCAAGGAGGTAAAAGAACACTACAGGAATAGCTATAAGTTAGTGAGGAAGGCAATCACACAGAGGCTGTAAACAAAATGAAAAATGTATCATGCTCATGCATCAGCAGAATCAACATTGTTAAAATGTCTATACTACCCCAATTGATCTGCAGATTCAATGCAATCTCTA